TACTCTTAATATTCAGAAATTAAAACTAAATATTTTATAACTAAATAAAAAACTGAACACATTTTCTCCTAAAACTATGAAATCCCCTATGAGCTATGAAAAGAAGGGATGCCTTTGTGGAGGACTCATTAGAGTGTATAACTCAAAGTACATACTGGAAAACCACGGGAACTTCCACGCAGCAATTCCGTTCGCTGGGATTTCAAACTGGATCGAACTGCTTGAGTTCAACTGTTTCACGGCAACTGAGCTTGTAATTTTTAGGGGTTTTTTATGAGCGATAATAACTGTTTTTAATTTAAAAAAATTAAGCATATTGTACTAATTTCAATTTGTTGCATAATATAGACATTACTCTGATTTTTTATTTGTTTTCTTTTTAATTCTTGGTAAGCAGTTAAACTTTTATGTTTATTGTAATGAACTTTTATTTTTTATTTCTTGACCTATAAATCTTTGCTATAAAGTTTGATGAAATTTTAAATTCCGAGACTTGATCCCCAGCCATGTATTTCTTATTAATTTCGTTTTTCTTTAATCAAACTTAACGTTTAGTTGGTAACGTACAGGTCTCAGACCGGTGTCTAATCCATCACTTTTCTTTTTTTAACCTGAGTAATAATGCACAAATCTCGGTATTTTCATTATTTTCAATTAAAATAGTTTTTCAGCATAATTTTTCTTAAAACGACTGATTACATATTAAAACGTGTTTGCAAAATGCATCATTATAGTTATAGATCCATTGAGTGGACTGTAGAAGTTATGCAGCATTCAAAAATTTTAAAGTCTAAACCTTTTTTAAATGCATTTATTTATTTATTTTATTTTGTTTATTTGATATGCTAGAAGCGTAATGATTATAAATTAGGAGGGATAGCTTTCGTGAAATTGCAAAGAACTTCTGCTATCTCTGCACATGTGGAGGGTGGGGGATTTATAGTCAAACACATTGTAAATACCTGCGCATTATCTAAAGTAGCTATTTTCAACTTTTTTTTGCTCCCTGCATCCCTTTCATCATTGCTAGACGATCATTCCTTCTTCCTTATTCCAAAACTCGAAAAATACATATACCTTTATTTAAATTAAGATTTTTTAATGTGTTTTATAAATTAAACAAGAAAATGTCAACAAGTACCGAAACTTGAATTAAATTAGTTTTGTATATTTACAAAATAAAACTAAGTTCTTAACACTAGGCAATTAAAAGGCTGACCGCATTTTCCCTCTGGAACTATGAAATTCCCTCCTAGGGAAGAATTCCCTTTCGACTGAGAGCTCTAATCTAAAATCTCAGTGTATTTTAATTTTTCAGTCAACGGGGAGAAATATATCATGAACTAAAAAAGGAAAAAAAGCAAATATTAGGATAATTCCTTAAATTCTTTTAACTGAACTATTTTATCTCTCTCTGTTAGATGTTGCAAGACAAGCAGATCTTAACTTCACTATTACTTTTATTTGGATTAGAAATTTTGATATTTTGACAGAGCAATGCTCGACTCGTGACTGGTTTGCCTCGCTACTTTTAATTTTTTTTCTAGTAATAAATAAAGGCTGTTTTCATTCTGTTCTTTTATGAATGTGTGATTTTAAAAGAAAATCCCTACAATGTAAACATTGATAAACAAATGAGACTCATATCGACTCCCTGATATCATATATTAAAGCAAGACTTTCTCGTGTTATATGATATTAATTCCAAACTTTGCTAAAATTAGCGCAGTCGATTATCTCTAATGAAAGGCTAGGATGGATTACATTTAATGTAATCCATTCTAACCTTTCATTAAAGATTATGATAGATTCATTAGAGATTATAATTTTATTAGAGATATGTGATATTGAGAAAATGCATACGAATAAGAATAGAGTAAAAATAAAGAATATGTATAACCAGCCTAATTTTACAGTGATGAAATCTGTAAGATACAAAATTTTGGTATTAGAAAGGCTATGCTAATGCTCACTTATTAAGCAAATTTTTAGCTTCGCAATCAAAGTTGAGCTATTACATTTTTTAACAGAAGGAAATAAAATGTGTGAAGAAAATAACCTGATTTTAATTTTTTTTAGTTTAAACTTGAAAGCACTTAATAGGCGCTTTCCTCCCTGATTGTTAAATTATTCACAATATTGGGATCATATTTCTTGGGAAAATTGCGCATTTCCTTTTCCTTTAAACTACTGGCACGAATATCTTTATTCGGAAACAAGATGAATAACATCTATTTTAGAAAAGGCGATTTGCTTGAACAGAAACAATATTAAGAAAGAGCTGCTGTTAATTTGTTTTTAATCCTTTATTTCCCATAAAACGTTCTAAATAATTACATGATATTTGCAGCCAAATCTTCCTTCATATTTTTTTAAGTCTGGTTATATTTTCAAATACAATCATGCTTTAGGCATTTTTTTACCCAGAAAGACCTGCTTTTTTGTCACACACCATTAATCCAAATAGGTGTTTTTAAGAGAAGTAATTTAATAGAGATTTATTTGGTTTAAAATCAAAAAATAAATCTTCAATAAAATAGCCTTAAATTTGGGAGTTTCGGTCTTTAAAGTATTTTATATTATGTCCAAACCCTACCCTCTCTCCCGAAAAAAAAAAAAAAAAAAAAAAAAAAAAATCTTGTCATTTCAATACATTAATCCTTCGAAACGTAATTCCTATTTATAAATACTCTTGTTTCTAGTTCCTTTTTTTAACTAAATGCAATTTAGAACTTTAACTTTTTTTCTGTTTCAATAAACAAAATATGTTAATTTGTTAGCTTTAATTGCGGTAAAACGCTTTATAATATATAGATTTATATAAATATATAAAAAAATAGATTTCGTTGTTAATAATATTGAGTTGTATGAAACTAAAAAAACGTGAACCTGTTTTTTTTTTTTTTTTTTTTTTTTTTTTTTTTTTTTTTTCGTTGATAATAACTAGTATGAAACACATTTATAATTCATTTTAATAAATTTTGCAGATTTTCGTTTAGACATTAGCTGGTGTGCTAGAGATTTCAGAGGCCTGAGCATCAAGTTTGGTCTAAAGATATTTTTATTTACTTGCGGAATGCCACGTGTGTCTCGATGCCTTTCTCATTTTCAGCGGGAATATTAATTCTTCATTCATTTAAAATAAAATTACGAATAATATCCTATTAATAGTTATTTATAATTTATTAAATATTATTTTAAATCATTCCCATAATTTATAATTTTGTCTGTGGACCCAAAGGTACCGGTCATAACTGTTACAGATTAACTGCCAATTTAAACCAAGTTTTAATGCATAATTTTCAGAGCTCTTAATAATATATGGAACACGATTCTCATCTCGTTTGTTTACATTCAACGAAAGCACAAATTCACAGCTATTTTAAAAAAATAAGTATATACATCTATTTCTAGGTCATAATTATGGTATAAAAGGTATCTAAATATAAATGAGGTATAACAATTGAATGTGCGAAGACGGACGGAGATGTATGTCATAAAATTTGAATTCTGCAGGAGAAAGGAATTTCTTAAAATCTCTGTCATATAAAAATAAGGTATCTAACTAAAATTACTTTTAATTGAATTTATGCTTAAATTATATAAATTTCTCACATGCTATTTAATATTAGAGAAAAATAAGTGATACGGCAATTTTTATGATTTTATGTAAAAATATAAATAAAATCGTGGCATATGTCTATTGCAATGACAATATTGCTGAAACAAAGTTCGTTGTATATACGTAGTTTTCGACTGGGATGCTATCAACGTTTGTAAATGTCCTCTGCAATATGGACAATGTATCTCAGCTATCACATGAACAATAGCTACGAATAATTTGTCAAAATTTTCATTCCTCAAAAGTAAGGTTAATTGTTATGAATATTTAATGCTAATTTGCATCGTAATCTCTTTTACAAGATAAATAGGGATAAATTTAAGTAAATCAGGGTTTTTATTTTGCTTATCTTCAAATCATGTGTACATGCTATTACAATAAATGCTCCTAAATACGAAAGATTTCGAAGGCATAGAGACATTATAACCAAAAACTCTAAATTAAAACACATGTGACACACTTTTTTTTACCTCGGCTTTTAACTTTCTAATAAACCAATTTTCGAAAACAATCGATATTAGTTTTAAGAGAAGAATAAAAAATATTATGCAAATAATATTTCTTTAATATGTATTTATAAAACAGTATCTATGTAAGAGGGAATAGGGTTAAAAATAATAGCGAAGAATGTTATATAATTTTCCCCCACATTTACAGTTACAGTTCTTATGTTATCACTAAACGTACAAAAGAGGGAGCTCAAAAATATATTAAGCCGAAACACAAAGAATTCCTGCTATTAGGTGAAAAAGAACAAATATTTCAATGTTAAATTACAGAAAAATATTAATTTTCTTCTGAAGAAAATTAAGATCATACATATGGCAACAGCAGTTGTAAAGTTACGGAAAATACTTTTAACTGCGTTGTGAATGGCAGGCTATATGTTTTTCATTTATATATAATTTCTTAAAGTATTCGTATATCTAAACTTTGTTTACAAAAACAGAGCAGAAATATTGAGAAAATTTACGATTTTTTTAACTTTTTTTTATATTTACGAGGAATTGTTTTAAAATTTTACTGCATGGTAATAAATAAATGTCAGATTAAATGAATCAGATTGTATTCTTAAAACTGAAAATATCTTTTCGGAACTTTGAAAGGTATTATCTAGACCCTTTCCATCAAGAAACATCTAAATGATTCAGTGGAGCATGAGATCACTTTAAAAAAATATTATTTTTTCATTACATTACATTATGAACAGAACTTTTTCTCTGCTTATTTATAATTCAAGTATTATTTAACACTTTTTAACAATATTTATGCTTTATCCACATTTGTACCAGTGATTATAGGAATGCCAAATATTCAAATTACAAAACTGCTGAAAAAAATATCAAAATATTCATAAGTTATCATTTGTCTAACTTACCATCAGAATCTGAGTGCTTTGGAACGAGTGTGACACAAGTAAACTAAAGGAAAAAACTGTTAAAAGTGATTCCGCTCACTGACGGAATCCGTGCTTTTATACCCATCACCGTAACTATGAAAGGGGCGCGGCCACGCAACACTGATCCTGTCTGATCTTTATTTTGATTCTAGTTTGTTACTACTTCTCGCTTTCATGTTTTATGCTTGTTTACTTTATGAAGTTCTTTTTTCCCCAGTGAACTAGCTAGCTACTTTAACCGGCCCTTCAGGCTTCAGAGGAGATTCAGTGAAAGTAAGGAAGAACCGTTTACAGCTTCTTGTTAAAAAGAAAATCAAATGAAACAATAGATTTCTAGTTAATGCGGAGAAAAATAATACTTTAACTGTCTTAAATTTGTCAGAAATTGAAGTATTCGTTAAAATACAGCAGAAAACATTTTATTGCAATATTTGATACATAAAAATACCGTGCGACTCAAATGCTGTGCTATAAAAATTTGAAGCTAACAGAAGACAAACTCTGTATCAAGTGCTACTTTTAATTTAAAGATCACTTGATTCAATGTCAATTATTCTATATCCTTTTAAAAGGACTACAAATTTGACATTATTATGACAAGCAACACAAATGTCTTGCATGTCCGGCCCACTAGTGCCCTGAAACTCAATAATGATTCATTTTAAATTTAACTACACTTGGTTTAGAGCAGATACTGTCACACTGCAGAATATGGGGGCGCCAAACCTTTTAAAGTTGAGGAAGACACTGGGTAGCAGAACGCGTAGAGTTTGCAAAGGGCAACAAAAAAACCTAGCGCTGGCCCCGGGGGGGGGCGCCTTATGGTTTTTCGATTGGATTCTTTAGTAAAAACTGAATTTTCAATTTAAGTATTTTATTTGTGGGAAATTAGATGCTATCTGTTCAACTGCCACTGTAAAAACATAGCTATGTAACAATTTAACATAGAAAAGAATCTGTAACTAGCTAAAAATAGCAAGTAAATATAGTTTGCATGTTATAAAAAGCTAACAGAAGTTTTCATGAATTTAATATTCATCCATATTATTTTTTAAAAATGATATTAAGTTCGTTCTATTTACTCACGTATTATATTTTTGGGCTAACACAAACTTGAGATCATTCGAAGAACATTTAAAATATTAACTCAAACTGGCGATATGGATTTGCTGATCAAGAAAATATGTTTTCTAAAATTTTTAATATTAATTTTAGTTTAAAAAATCAGATCCAGTAGTGTCGGAAATCTCCTTTTGGATGTAAAATTTATTGCATTAACAAAACAATTAACTCAGCATTTTTTTCTAAATGAATTTTAATAAAAATTTCAAAGTCGTTAAGCATTTTTATATGCTAATAAAAACAGTAAGTGACAATAATACTTCGCTTTGTGACTAATGGGTTTCATTAGAATCCGAAAAATTTGAATCATAGAGAGGTTAATATTAGAGCTATCGGTTTAATGCGAATAGCTTCATATTTCGCAGAAATTCAGTTTCAGCATACCACACATGCTCTTGGATATTAGCAAAATATTTTTAAGTACAACTTAGATAACATTTTTACTGTCGGCAGCATCTGCCCAGCTCATTTGGAAGTTCGCGTACAGATCGAGACAATTGTCAAAATCGCCATATTCTAATTTTGATTTTGTATTCTATAAAAGGCTACCATTGACCAAGTAGACAAGATTCTTCCACACTTATAGCTTGACCCAGACTGATCGGAAGAACAGGCTTGTCTATAAGTTTTTATGATTTCCCAATATGTACTTATCCCTTATCCCTTAACCACTCAGCCCCACAATTGGCTGAGTGGTTAAGACTTCTGAATACTGGTAGTTTGACACGAATTCGAAACCAGAGCGATAGGCAGGGTACATTGATTTTCGTGATTTTCCCCTTGTATAACGCGAATACGAGCTTAAAAATTTCTCTACAAAGGGCATCCCTTCTCCTAGGCAGGTAACCCTAGTGCGCTTTGCCCAATTCAAATAACATTCAAATAAACGGGTAATGTAAGAGCCAGTTAGTCCTTTACAAAAGCATCTCCGTTTTAAGTACAAAATCTTCATACTGAAATAAATTCATTCCATGGTCTTACTGTAAATTTAGAGTATAAGAAAGTGCGAATGTAAATGCATTACTCATATTCAAAGTTAAATAAAGAATTAGAACTGACTCATGTCTTTCGCAGAGATCAGTGCAGTAATTTTTAAGACTGAATTCTATATCTCTTAGCAGTGCACAAATGGCAGTGTCAGGACACAAGCAGTCTGCACAAGCAGAAAATGAATGCTTCAGATTTATCAAATATATTCTAACCAAATACATAGAGAATTGTAATTCAAGCTGGGAAATAAGCAGGTACATGCATTATGCATGAATTGTAGAATAACTATAATTTTTACAGAGGTTGGAAGTCTTACTATTGGGCATTAATGTTGCTTAATGGACATTTTATACAAGAATTTCGTATGCATAATTTGATATCGCAAAGTATTTTGAAGCCCATTCAGTCATCCTAAAGATGCATTTCTCCTTATAATCACCTTTCTAGCGTTTTGCTATAATTGTCAGATCTTCCACAAATGACGACTCTAAACATTTGTATGCATTAAGGTTATTTAGATTATGGAAAAGTTCTCTAAGCCTAACTGCCTCAGAAGGCGCATGCCTTCGAGAAGGACTTTCTAAGGTAAACTGGCATATATTCACCTTACACATGGGAGAAATCCACATAAACTCCGATGCAGCCAACCCGATCGCCAAGATTTGAACCTAGGTAGAAACCAACATTGTACAATGGCTTTGCCACTTGGTGATTGGTGGGTCCCAAAGTTTGGAATTCACTCTACAATAAAATACCTTGAACGCTACATTTTCTTATATAAATGTAGGGTTCAAAGAAACTGACGATTTCCTAACTATTTTTTCAGGCCTTAACTTTTCATTTTACCCAGTGGTATATATCTTTCACATATAGATCTGTTTCCATATCGGAAAATCTTGAAATAGGCTCTGTAGATGCAAGAAAGCAAGCTAAGAACTATATAAAAGTATTTAATAGTAATCAGATATTTTAACACACTACATCCCTTATTTTAATTACGAAATAATTAGTCGTTTGTTCCCATATGAAAAAATAAGCACTTTTATGAAGCGTAGAAATAAAAGAAGCAGGTAAATAAGAATGTTTTAAAATAGTAACTGAGATTGGAGTGGGTTATTTGATTAAGAAAATGCACTGTTGAAAGTTGGCTACTAAAAGAAATGACCAAATGCTTTCAGAAATGTAAAACATGGCATGTTTACATCATTTAATAGATATTGGATCAAATGAATAAAATTTTACGTTATACTACTTTCTACATTTTTAAACCTATTATCTTCTTCGTTATTTAACAACTGAATGAAAGCATATTTTGCAAGGAAATAAATCTAGTTGCTAGAATTAATAATAATTATTTGTTAATATTAAATAATGTAAGTAGTAGAAAACTGTTAAGGACTGGATTTCTTTCCCCTCAAAATTCTATATTTATTCAATCTGAGGAAAACGACAACATTTTTATGTGTAGAAAGTAGATAGATATTTACTCAGATATCTGCTGAAAATATTTCTTATTTTCTAATATCTTAATAATACTTCTTACTGAAAAGGTCAGAACTGTTTACTAAAACGAACACAATCAAATCCAACTCAATTAAGTTCAAGAAACCGAAAGTTTGGTTTTTATATATCTGGTAGTTTTCTATATTCTGTCCAAAACGAAAAGTGAATTATCTCAAAAGTTATAAAAATAGACTCCTGAATCACCTAAAACTGATTGGCATTATCACATTTATCCAAAGAAATGAATAACAATTTCAATTTAAAAAAATATTAAGAATTAATTATAATTACTCTCAATTATTAAATTTTTGTTATTCTTCAGTAACTATTTCGCACGATAAGTTAGCATAAAAATCATGATTCAGATTCTTCCCTCGAAATTATAGCTTCATCTCTAAACTACACACATGTAATTATTAACTAAAAATATAAAAACAAAAAATACAAAAAACAAAAAATATTGAAGAACTTTCTGATAGCATTTCTTGAGCTTTGCGGTAGCATTATGCTCATATCAGAAATTTTTTATCCATATTTTTGTCCAAAATGCGAAGAGACTGGATTATTTTCGGACCGACGTTAATGTGAATAAAGTCGTATTAAACAAACTCTTACAACTTTGGCATCATCTATGGTTGGGAGTTATCTTTAAGTATCTTGTGTTTCTTCAACATTTTCATCTGCAACAGAAGAAGAATTTTTGAAGTCAGCATTTTTCATTTTAATTTCTATCATAGAATCTTCAACAATCAGATTTTTATGTATAACAGTGGCATCATTTCACAACCATATAATACTGAAATGCCGTTCTTTTCATAGCCGCCTAGCTACAGACAAATCCTTGACTTCATCATTTGTCCTTTCAATACTGATCGTTAGACTGGCGTACCGAAAACAATTTGGGATGGCTGATTCTGTAACAAGTTGCCAAGACTTTTCTAATGCTAGCATTTCATAATGTACTTGATTACTATACTTCGAAATGCTTAAATGACACTTCAAATTCCTGATCACTCCCTGCTGTGTAAGTTGAAATATAGAAGCAGCATTCGGGGTCAAGAAAACGATCTAATCCAATCCCATTTGGACAAATTTTTCGACATCTGAGTATGTAAGGGAATTGCCAATAAAGAGTGAAAAAATGTGTTTGGGTGCCGAAAGTTCATCACTCATTGCTAGCCCTTCTCTAAAGAGTTTGGATATCATCCATGCCTTCTGATTAACTTTGTCAGAAAGCAGAAGAATTTTCAAAATATTAAGCATCTTGGCTTTTCAGAGTTTCTAATTTGAAAAATTCTAGAAAGCTCAGTGCCATTCATGCAAACATAGATTGGCACTCACAAAAACTCTGATTCACAGTTTTTACAGTTTTCTACCAGTGCATTTTTGCTCTTTAACATATGTTAAGCATCATAGTAGAACTGTCCATCTTCATAGCTGCTGAAAGTGTCTTTTTCATTGCAGTGGCGAAAGGTATAACCCCAAATTTTTCCTATTTCATGGCAT